ATACTATATACAATAATAAAAAATAAACCAAAAAATATACAAATCAAAATAAAATGAAAGGTAGCAGAAGAAGAATAAATCTTATGTCTGCCCCTTTTCGACCCAGAATATATTCAAACGAAACATAATTTACAAAACAATACTAAATGCCCTATGGCACGATGCATTGTCATCTTGGAAAATTATTTCATCACCTCCAAACATCTGTTCAGTTGAAGGGATGAGAAAACTGTCCAAAATGTCAATGTAAACTTGTGCATTGATAGAAGAATGATTCACAGTCATCTCCCCAGTGCCTTTGCCTGACATGCAGCCCCACATTATCAAGGACTGGGGACATTGGTTTATTTTCTTCAGGCAGTCCTCTTCATAAATCTCACTGGAACGGCACCAAACAAAAGTTCCAGCATCACCACCTTGTCCAATGCAGATTCTTGTCTCATCACTGAAGATAACTTTCATCCAGTCATCCACAGTTCATGATTGCCTCTGCTTAGCCCATTGCAGTCTTGTTCTTTTTTGTTTAGGTGTCAATGATGGTTTTCTTTTAGCTTTCCTGTATTGAAATCCCATTTCCTTCAGGTGATTTCTTACGGTTCTGTCGCAAACATTGGCTCCAGCTTCCTCCCATTTATGCTTCATCTGTTTAGTTGTACTTTTTCGGTTTTCAAGACAAGTTGTTTGTCTTGACACTTTGATGTCTTTCTTGGTCTACCAGTACGCTTGGCTTTAACAACCATTTCATGCTGTTTGTATTTGGTTCATATCTTGGATACAGCTGACTGTGAACAGCCCACATCTCTAGCAACCATGCATGAAGAGTTACCTTCTTCAAGAAGTTTCACAATCCTCTCTTTTGTTTCAAGAGACATTTCTCTTGTTGGAGCCATGGTTCYTGCCACTCCACTTCGTCCAGCAGCCCTCCAAGGTGTCATGACTGCAGGTGTTTTTAACTGCAGACTAACGAGCAGATCTAATCTGAGCCAGGTGTCCATTTAGAGAAAGGAAATTGACTGGGCGTGTCCTTATTTTCTACCTCCAGTTTGAGTGATTCCATACATTTTCCTCAGAATTGAGTGATTCCATATTTTTTTCCCTGTGCTTGGTCAATAAAAGTAACATTCACTGACTTCCACAACGTTTTCTCTTCATTTCTTTGAGTGTTCCTGAAAGCCAACAAGTTGCACTTTGGAATGACCTTATTATTGTATCATGTTTTTGATCTGAGTTTGTTTTACAGAATGAAATGTCTGAATGAGTGCTCATCCAAGACTGGTGATTCCATACTTTTTGCCGGGGGTTGTATGTGCTATTAAAAGGTTTCAGAATGTCATTAAGTTACTATTAAAAACATTTAATGTCCTGAAGAGATGTGTTTATTGTTTTTAACCCAGATCAGCTAATATTTCATCACGCTTTCAATTGTTTCAGGGTTTGTCAGCCTGAAAACAGGATTTTTGTTCATTTATAACCTGGTGCAGTTTCTTGGGTTTTCATGGATCTTTGTCAACATGACTGTGCGCCTCTTCATATTTGGCCAAGGTAAGAAATAATAGTAGTGTAGCTTTACGTTGTCTTTAACATTTTACAACAAGGTAGCAGACGTCTCATATAAAATACTGACTTGTATTTTCAGATTCGCTCTACGACACATTCCACACGATATCAGACATGATGTTCTTCTGCCAGATCCTGACATGTGTGGAAGTCCTGAATGCTGCCTTTGGCTTCGTGCGGACAGCTGTTATTCCCACTCTAATACAGGTGATGGTCATTTAGAGGAAAATTCTGCATCCAAAGTCTGGACAAAGAACTAAACTGTTGTCTTCGTGCCTCTCTGCTTCAATGTTTTGTTTTTTTTTTCTTTTTGTAGGTGGTTGGAAGGAATTTTATCCTCTTCATAATTTTTGGTAGTTTGGAAGAAATGCATCATCGTCCAGTCGTGTTCTTCGTTTTTTATCTGTGGAGCGCCATAGAGATTTTCAGGTGCACATCAGTAGTGTCATAAACCAGCGTCTTTTATATGCAGCAGATATATTGATATAAACACAATAAAGGGAGTAAATGTGTCAATAACAAGAATGGTTTAAAATTTCCCAAGCAGCACTCACATATTTTGTCATCGTTGATCATCACTACTAGCAGGTCATTCATTATAAAGATGTATTGTTGTGGCTAAAAAATGTCACGATATTAGATTTTTTTTTTCGTTTTTGTTTTACCTATTTGAAATAAGGATTAATAATGTATGTATGTAATTATTATGTAGGATTAATTCTGCTAAACCGGTGACATGGCTTTTCCTCCTTTAGCCACAATTTCCTCTCGAGCTGTAGCACGTATTTTCTTCTTTCACTCTCCACCTCATTCTTTTTTCAGGATTCGTACACTTTCCCCACAGTAAAATTCAAGTACTTTTCAAGCATTTTTCAGTAAATAGATGATATAAAACCCTGGCTCGATCCATCCTTCAATCAATTTGCATTTTCAAGGATTTTAAGCACCTGTGCGAACTGTTTTTCTTTTTTCTAAGTAGATATGAGGCACGGTGGYGAAACATGAAACTTCTACTCTTCATGTAACTCCACAGGTTGTTGCTAGCACTCCAAAGACTGAGTTAGTCAATGCCACCATCCTTGCTTAACTGGTCCGTGAAAGGTGGAGCAGCTAAAGCCTTTCCCATGCCTACATCCCCCAGAAAGCCATGCGGTTCTGAATTGGAGTTCAGTTAAATTATCAACAGTCTATCAGACATTATTGCTTTGTCGCCCAGCCTTAATGCAAATGTAGGGCTAGCTGATGAATATCCTGTTATTTTATTTGGCTTTTAACCAACATAATCCTCTGTTTTCAGGTATCCCTTTTACATGCTGGCATGTTTCAATACAGAGTGGAAAACCTTGACTTGGCTGCGATACACGATCTGGATCCCTCTGTATCCGTTAGGTGTTTTAGCTGAAGGTGAGCTAGTTTGTTGATTTAAATCACTAATATTTACTATCACGTAATAAATAACTTATGTTTTCCATCTCATGTAGCCGTTGCTGTGATCCAGTCCATTCCCATATTTGACAAAACCCAACTCTTCAGCATTCCTCTGCCAAGAGCCATCGGTACCTCGGTCAGCTTCTCTTACATCCTGCACGTCTATCTAGTCCTCATGTTTTTGGGTGAGTCAGCAGATCAGCTCATCTAGGCAGTTGTGCTCATGTTTTTTATTACTGATATCAATCTGTTTTTTTTTTTTCCTCTTCAGGACTTTTTATCAACTTTCGTCACCTCTACAAGCAGAGGAAGAGGCGTTTTCGCACCAAAAATAAGAAAGCAAATTAAAACGAAGCACCAATGCCTCTGCTGCCTGCTTAATTCAGGACACTTTTATAAAGAGCATTATGTTCTTAAAACTCGCTTCTGTCGACCGATTGCTTTCCTTATGATGTTTTCTTTTTCACATCCTGTTTAATCTTACTAAAATGCTTTCCTTTATCTTCCAAACAAATGAAAAAGTGTAATTGGCTGGACGGAGATGTTAATTTCTCCTGYAGAATATTGAAAACTTGTCAGAACATTTGACAAAAACGTGATACTGTATTTTTTGGATTCTTGTTAGGAAGACCTCGCTGTCATTGATGTATGAATGGCAGAACAATTATCTGTAACAATTTTATGGTTTTAATCTTTTTTTTTTGACCAATTACAAAAACTGCTGGGCTCAAATCATATGCGCCGTTAGGCTCATCAAAAACAGTGCAGTCTCATCTTCTTATTCTGATGATTTATACAGTTTGTTGAGCAATTTATGTCTTGGAATGAAAATTAAAAATGTAAAAAATATGTACACAGGCTAATGTCTTCATTTTCCAGAAACTGGTTYTCTAAACCACCTTCTGGATGCACCTGAACCGTCCCATATCAGTTCAATTTTTTTTTACAACTCATTCACAAGAGTTGGATCAGCTTGAAAAGTCTGTATGCATGGGTTGAATGTTGTGCTCAAAAGCAGCGTACTGGGAGTCGCCGGAGCTGGCTAGTTTGAGCTGATGAGCGGCRTGGGAGAGCTGGAAAGCAGCGTCAGGGTGGGCCGAGTCTGGCAGCAGAGTGCACTCCCTCTCCAGAAGTTCAGCCACTCCCTTCAGGAGCTCCCAGAAACCAAAAGCCAGAGCAGCTTTCCGCAGTCGGTTCAGCTCCTGAGAGAAGAAACATTAGGCCGAAATGTTTAAAACATTTACTTTTAAGTCTTAGAACTTCAGTTAAACTTACTTTATAAAAAGTCTGAGTTTTATCAGGTAATTTTCTTGCGTTCCTCAGGATCTTCTGGACATCAGTCTGTACAAAGACAGGAAATGACTCAAGCRTGCTTTTGACCAGTACTCACTTCAAACACAACCTGTGGGGCTTAGGAAAATCTTTACAAAAATCTCAAACTGAGCACACAACTAAAGTTTCGCTTTTACATCTCCCTTGCCATAAAGGTTCAGCTCATTGCGTGGTTGGAAAAATACAGAGGTGGGCACGGTTAGCGGAACTAGCTTCTCATTTAACAAATTAGCTAACTTTAGCGAGTGTTAGCAGACCAATTAGCTTCCGCTAAATTAGGTTCCACTAATTTTAAGTTCACTAAAAAATTCCCAAGTGTAAAACTTCTGTTTTTATGCTATTTATTCCCAATTAAACAAAAAACTATCCTCTCTTACAAGCAATGCTTGTCTGTGTGTAGCATGTAGCATCTTTAGCAGCTAAACTTCAAACTAAGAGCATCAAAAAAAATTTTTTTTAACAATATTTAAATAACGAACACAAAAACTGAGTACATATAAAATATAGTAGASAAAGTTTTTGYTATTCACTGTTTGACTAATTTCGACCAGGATTTACCATAAAAATKCAAAGTCKATCAAATAAATGCTTTTATTCTGAAAGCAGAACTAGTAGCAGTATTAGAAGTTGACCAGAGCTGTAACTGGTTTGGAATGGCTGATTTGCCACAGATGAGTTCACCCACCTTCAAATTAAACCAATAAAAACTAACAACAGGTTTGCATCATACAGAGCACGCAAGGGGACGTGGAGAAATGTATTTATTTTTTACGTTCTCATGCAATACTTTTTGGGTTCCCTCGCAAAGTCATTTATTACAGTTGTGCCTGCCAGTTTATTAAAAGGGCTATATAATGTAAAATCAACTTTTTTTTTAGCTTTATATCATGTTATAATGTTATCCTCTCATCAAAAACATGCCCTGAGTCTTGTTTTGACTCATTCAAGCATGTTTGAGAAATCCTGTGCCGTCCTGAGACAGCCAGGCAGGGGAGCAAAAACGACAGTATGGGACTAGAACCGCCTTTTGGAACCAGCTCCTCCTCTGGGCTGTGACTCCGAATTGAGCTTCCTCATCACGGAACACACCTCCCCACCCCGCCCGTGACTCCTGCAGGCTCTCGGCTGCAACAAAGCAAACAACTGGTGAAACTGAAACTATCTGCTGAGCTCCCAGTACTACTTCTCAGCACAATCCTTTTCAGATTCAAAATACCTTTGAGGAAATGTGTTTTCAGATGCCAAGTAAACTACACTGAGATTCCATATCACCTCCCCACGTGTTGAAATGGGCGGGACAGAAGTGGAAGGAGGTTCTTAAAGAGACAGAGGCCAATTTCAAGGTGTTTAGAAGAGGAAGTGATGAGAAGATAAGTTTATTTTCTATTTAAACATAAAAGCAGCATTTTAATACCAACTAAAGGTGACATAAATACTTTATTTTGATGAAGAACTTAAATATATGCCTGAGAAACTTAAATATATGCCTGAGAAACACATAAAATTGCCCTTTTAACAAGTTCACGTGCTCACCATTATATGGGAGTTAGCCTACTACTTTAATTCAGCTTCAGAATGAACATATAACAGCCACACATGGAGTTTTATGTAATATGCAGGTATTTTTACTCTATGCAGCCACGCAGTATCACCATCAATTCCCCCAACTTGTGATGACACATCCTGCTTATTTAATCAAAAACTATTGCAAGGGAACACAAAAATAATATTCTCCGTCTCACCTGTTTTTAACTGGAATAAGTTGAGGACGTGCGACTCAGAATGAGCGATAGTTGTCTTAGCGGTTAGCTTCCACAATTTTATTATTTTTTAATCAGTTAAGTGGTTTAGCATTAGTGGAGCTAAAATTCATGTTTAGTGGATTAGTGAAACTTTTTGGTTAGCTGTGCCCACCCTGGAGAAGTATATCAAAGTGTGCTGTTGTATTATGATAGTATTTTGTAAATACTGTGTAAATCAAACCTGGAAACAAACAGACTGAACCTTAAACTACACACAAAATAAATCAAATAAGGATTGGTTCAAGATTTCCAAAGTGAATGGATTTTTCTTCACCTGCAGTCCACTGGCTTTAATCCACACAGTGACATTCTGGGCGTAGCTTCGTTTGACCTGTGGCTGCACAGGAAAGGGACTTTTGCTGTCATCCTCTCCGTAGGGATTTTCAGCWGCCTCTAAAATACCAGAAAGGAGACAGAACATCAGCATGACATAAAGCAGTGCCACTTATTGTAAACAAAGCAGAAGGGCGGGAAATCATTCACAGTTTGCTGAAGTACACACAGAGGTCGACAGGAAAACACAATCATTAACTGTCATAATTTAAACRAAAAGTTGCACATTACTTAAAAATGTCACCCTGGCGTTAATGAGCTGAAACTTTACCTGAAATTGGTCCTAAATGTGAGATCTTGCCCAGCCAAGGCAGAGGCTCTGAACCAGGTTCAAACAGAGACATCATCAGGTTGGACTTCTTCTTACTGTCTGCCTGAGAGTACAACATCCCGTACCACTCTGGCCTGGGACCAAGACACTAAAATTAGCCACTTGTCTTCAAACGAAATCTGCAGTTAAATGTACCAGGACTCAGAATTTATCAACAGTAAGGTGTCCTGTTTTATCTCACCCCAGCTGAACCAGCGCCACCATCCCCTCAACCTTCAGACTTCCATGTAAAAGAACACAGAAGTTGGGGCTTTTGCCGGCCATCTGACTGGCAGAAGGTTCCTCCTCGAGCTCATCTGTAGTTCCTGTGCCAACTTCATCCACATCTGAAATCAAGCACAGATATTCAACTCTGATAAAACAAAAAGCTTCATAATGGTTTTTTTCTACATTGTTCAAAWGATGTTCATCTCTTGTGTATTTTTTTCTCTTTTCTTTTATTTTCTACAACCTGTTCTGGCAACAACCCCCTCCACCCCACCTTTATGAGACAAAAAGCAGGACATTGCCTGATAACCATCATTTTGTTGGATTGTGCTTTTTAGTGAAAACAAAATAAAAAAAATATTTAAAATAGAAATAAATATGTCATGTTAKGAGGTAAAGCTTTAAAACAAACCTTTATTTACAGCAATAGGAAGGACCAAGTGTCTGGATATTACAGGAGGACTGGAAATGTCCGCAATTTCAATGAAACCCACAATTTCAAGATCTGAAACAACAGAAGTGAACGAAGGTTGCCTTCTTATCGCTTAAATCATTCTCTGAGGAAAAAAGGTGCACAGCCGGATCAGTACCTGTGTTGACTGTCCGGGGAATGGGTTCCACCTCTTCATCCATTACGACAGGCTCAGGGCGAGGGAAAACCTGAACGTCGGATGACAAATTCCCACAATGCAGCACCGCGTGGAAGGGGGAGTACGCATAATCAATCAACGAGCTGGAAGAGACGTAAAACAAACAAYATAACCTAACTGGGGCACACTGAACACACAACATAAATCAGTTATKTTCTTTCTATCTCACCCAAACATGGCTTGTACGGTCTTCATGCAAAGGGGTCCGTCCACGGTGAAGATCTGCCCATCCCCCCCACTCAGACGAAGTAGCTCCTCTAAGTTTTCCATGGCATCAGTCATCTGTAACTGCCATTGCACGAGACAAGGAGCAGTTCTTGTAGCAGCGTAATAACTTTAAGGTGCATGTAAATGGAGATTAACCAACAACAACGGACAACTCAGTACCTCCTCTGCGTTGGCTATACACATGATATACATTTTGGTGGGGAAGGGAAAAGGAAGTGGGAACTTCTTGTCATCTCCACGCTGCTTCAGGTTTTGGAGTGAGTGACGYAGGGAACCTTTTCCAATACCGAGAGATCCGTCAGTAACCAGCACCACCTAGAGGACAAACAAGGGACGTACATACCATGAGTGGTGGAAGAAAAATAAATCAAACCCTTTGCTGTGAAAAAAAAAGTCTATTTTAGCTCAATCTGCATCAATATCTGCATTAAAACTGTTAAGAGTTATGATAAAAGTGTACATTTAATTTGCCTGCTGGATAAATAATCATGTTTGATGTATTTTTAGACAATAAGTATCTGTGAGTTTGTTGGAGCTGTACCTGTAGGAAGTGGAACTAGTTTGTATTTTTAAGTACCATTTTATGAACAGGTGAACTTGAGATATTTAAAGGCTGCAAAAATAAGAATAAAACAGAACTTATGCACAAATGTGTTTTCTGATTTTACCTATTTTTTTTACTAAACTCAAAAACTCTTTTCTGAGTTGATTATTAAAATTATGCTCTGAAAAAGTATAACGTGAAATAACTCCAAGTCTGAGTAAATCAAATTTGATAGAATTATGGATAAATAAGTAAATAACTTTTTCATAAGCACACTGAACATCCCTCTGTGTTGTACTAAATATGCACAAATAGTTGACATTTCCTTTGTCTTTTGATCCAAACAACAATTTATTATTTAAAAACAAATTCATAGGTGCAAAAAAAAAAAGGCTTTGCCAGATTACCTGACAGGGACAGGCACTTCCCCACTCCTGCTGAACTACATTACTGACTCCATGCAGAGCTGATTCAATACACGTCTTATCATAATCTTCCAGGTTGCTGAGTGCGTCCTGAAAGAAAAARAAAACATTAGAAAACCCCTGACTTTTACTATGAAATTTCCTTTTATTTTAACTTCTCAGCTAAATGTAGGAAATAAGCTACACTCATTTTCTGCAGCTGGCATTGTGATCTGTGGTGAGAACATGTGGAAGAGGAGCAGAGGTCCCCAACAGTGCAGGACTTCAAGACAGTGCTTCAAGTCGATTGTCCAGGAAAACAGAGTGCGGTAAAGAAGTGAAGAAGAGAGACCAGGAAGTATGAAGAAAAGTGATTTCAGAATCAGAATCAGGTTTATTGGCCAAGTATGTTGACACACACAAGGAATTTGTTTCCGGCTGTCGCTCACTGGTATCCACATAGACAATTAACATATAATTCACACACATTACAGATTCATAATGTACTTCACTTTACCAAAAACTATATTTGTGACAAAAAGGTGGCAGCAAAAGTCAAAGGAAAGGTTAAGAAAATAGTGACCGTGACACTGACATAAAGACAGGAGRCAGAACTGAAGATGTTGAGACTGAGAGCAAATTCAACACTTCTTAACTTTACCTGTAAGGCATTGTAATCCCTATTGAAAGGGACCAGTAGCTCCCAGAGGGAGGAAAAGGCCATCAGTGCTGTGAACTCCAAACGATAGTTGGAGGCCATGTGTTCAAATAACATGTTGAGTCCATGTACGGCCAGGTTCTTCCTCTGAAACTCCTCGCTGCCATCCAGAGACACCGGCCGTGTCATGGACAGGGACACGTCCATTAGCACCACTGTCGGCATGATGCTTCACCGCTGGTGTCCACTTACGACACWATGTATTTACCGGTCCCCAAAGAGACCCCAGTTTGTTACTACCACTATTTGTTTAAAGAAGGTCGTCGCTGTTGATCATCAGCTGACAAACAACRCCAGAAAAGACGTTAATACTAGGAGGCTAATGTTGGCTAGTTAGTTAGCATTCTGCAACGAAATGAACGAAAAACAAACTGAAGATACGTTCCGATTGCTATTTGTCTAAGGTATGCAACAAAGTATTAGAGCAATTGTTGATTACAATACAAAAGTAATATATTAAACACTAAACAACGACAAAGACGCAAAAGTGAAGTGTCTATCCACCGCTACGTTGTAGGTGCACCARCACTTCTGTCCGTGTAACAACTTAATCGTGAATATATAGTTCCTATGTGTTTAAACAAATGTACAAAAAATCATTATGGTAAAGTTTTAAAAAAAAAAGGTAACCAAATACTTTTGTAAGCATATTTAATTTAACCCTAGTGCTACTTTTTCTAGGTAAAATTGGTTAGTTTGATTAGTAATACCTTATGCTTGCTAAAATTAGAAAAACCATAGCTTAAAGCTCAAGTTAACAGAACAATAAAACAGCTAAAATTACCAAAATTCTAGCTGAAAGCTCAAATTGGCAAACTGACAGCTACCTCCCCCTCATTTTACTTATTYATGTTTTAACAAAGCCTAAGACACCAAAAGCAAYAATAATAATAAAACAATTTAAGGGGAAATGTATTCATTAAATTGTACAGTTTTTCAGCTTTTGCATCTTATTCAGACAMCTTTCAAACAGGGAGAGTTTCTTTATAAGAGCACAGAATGAGGGGGGGCACTTTGCAAATCGACATTTATGTTGCTGACAGCTAAACTGACCAAAACCATAGCTAAAAGTTAAAAACATCAAAACCATAGCTAAAAGTTAAAAACATCAAAACCATAGCTAAAGTTTCAAATGTGCAAAACTGTAGCTAAAAGTGTTGTTTGTAATGAGCACCTTTTTTAGTACAGACAATACAATCATCATTGCTGAGGTATGCTCACAAAGTGAGAGTGAGACAATGCACCTAATCCTCTTAGAAGACYTCAGGTGTTAGGTATTACACTTATCCATTGTGAAGACCTGTTCTGTGTCCTACATAAGCCTTTGGTCGTTGGGAACATTTTTTGTTTGTGTCACAACATCCAACTCTGGAAAACTGCCAAACTCTGGGAGCTGTGCACCGCTGGCTTTGTAYGACATTGATTCACTGGTAAGTTTACATCTGTAAAATCTGTAAGTGTTCTCCTTGGATTTGATTAGGACATRGGTGTAGCTCCTTACCACATGAGATATCAACTTGTTTTTTGGGGAAGTCATTAGMTACTATGTTCTAGATTTAATTTTTGTCTTTGTATTTGTAGTCATTTCAGACAACTAACCATCATCATAGCTACATAACTAAATGCATCCTAAATAGTTTTTGACTGTCAATAAAAGCAATAAGCTGACTGTCTTTTTTAAAATTATCAATAGGTTGGGTTTTCCAGGAAGCTGATGATGTGACATGAATCACCCCACAGACGTTCTGACTTCTTTCACTCCATGGTCAGCTGGGGGTGACAGCTCATCTCTGCCAAAACCCATTTATGCTGCTTAATTCAACCTAGCCACCTGCAAAGCTTCTTCTGTAGAGAATGCATTGCACAAGAAGGAAGCGACTTCAGCTGAGTCGGGTCCTGTTTCTCCTCTCAGGGGTTTTCCTTTGCACACTCTACCAGCTCACCATCAGTGCCCGACTGTATGAGCCTTTGCCAATGCCTCAGATTGGAGAGGATTTTGGAGAAGGTTCGACAGAGGGCGTTGAGGAGGCCACAGTAGAGCCAGGAGGGCTGGAGGAACCTCTCACTGCAACCCATGAATTGGAGCTCACAGATCAGACAACGCCAGCAGTTCATGTGGTTCAGGGCACAGGCACAACCACACCGTCCAAAGCGTCCATCACCACTGAATCACCACAGGTGCCAGCCACAAACCGGACTATTGTGCACTGCATCTTCATGGCCCCTGAACCTCCTGGAGAGACACCCACCCCAGCTCCAGACCCTTCAGTTGCCATAGTCCCTCCAGGTTCTCCTGGTGAAGCCCCGCAAGTTAAAGGCGAGTACCCTGAAGATATTTTCTCCATTGAAGATCGCAGACGAGGATGGGTGATCCTCCACATTTTGGGGATGATGTATATGTTTGTGTCTCTTGCAATCGTCTGTGATGAATTCTTTGTGCCAGCACTTGGGGTAATCACAGACAAATTAGCCATCTCTGATGATGTAGCCGGAGCCACCTTTATGGCAGCTGGAGGTTCTGCACCTGAGCTGTTTACCTCCTTGATAGGAGTCTTCATCGCCCACAGCAACGTGGGCATCGGCACCATCGTCGGTTCAGCCGTCTTCAACATTTTGTTTGTGATCGGAATGTGTGCTTTGTTTTCTCGGGAGGTCCTCCATCTGACCTGGTGGCCACTTTTTAGAGATGTGTCTTTCTATATTCTGGACCTCATCTTGCTGATTATCTTCTTCTTGGACAATGTCATCATGTGGTGGGAGAGCGTGATGCTGGTGGGCTGTTACACTCTTTATGTGGTCTTTATGAAATATAATGTGCAGCTGGAGCAAGCGTTCAAAACCCAGTTGCATAAACACAAGAGCCTTGTGAAAGTCATTGCTGTGGAAGAACCTGAAAAGGTAAGCGCTCCTGAAACACATCTCTTTTTTTTCCATGTGTAGACATTTAAGACAGTAGTCTTAAATAATATATAAAATATATTACAGAAATAAATATTTCTCTTGATCGTAAGCCATTTTAAAATATTTTTAAAATCTTATTTGTACCCACTAAGACCACTTTATGATGGATGATGACCCCACTACATCATAAACATAACCAAGAAAGTAGATTGTCTTTGCAGAGTCTTGGTAAGATCTAAAGATTTAATTAATGTAGTTGGCTTCTCATGGTAGGATGGGGAGGGGTTTGAGCATGCTGACAACTTTTATAGCAAGGTTGTGGTATTTTGTTTTTGTGGTGGCAGGGTGTACTGGTCTTGAAYGAAGCTTGGAGGAGCTTGGTGGCAGCATATCCAAGAGATCAGTGCGCACCAACGTAGCTTGGTCAACAAGAATTTAAAGCAGGACTGCCTTTAAGTTCTATAACCATGATTATGACAAGAATATGGGTACAACTTAGTGCAGACTGTGGCCATAGCATGGTGTGCAGCAGCAACATGATCTGGTGTGCATTCATAGAGTCTGGTCAGGGCAGATGTGAGCGTCACACTTTCACACTGAAGATGGTTTCCCAAACTTGTTTTTCCAGCTGTGTTCTAGTTCTTTTAGGTCATACGGAGTGTAGTGGGGTCATCATTACCCAGTGTGAAGGGTTTAACGTAAATGCATTCCAATTCAAAGCTACATGAAACCAAATAACCACAGTGCAGATTATAACTAGAAAGCTTTGTTTCGTCATCACTTRCGACTTGGCATCATTTTCTGTATTTGTCAGCGTAACAGAAAGTATAAAATTAAATTAGAACTAGWGGCTAGCAGAGGTTTGTACAAAGTAAAGCTGATCAAACTAATCCTTTGAGGACCTACAGTGCAATAAAACTGTAGCATGAACACTTTTTTCTTCAACTTTGTTTACTGTGTTAAGGCTCGTATCTTTACAGATGAATTGTTGGTTACGATCCAAACTTTTGTTGAGCTGCTGCTAAGACTGAGGCCTCAAAGTGATAATGTGATTACTCGATGGKACTTTGTAATCACATCACAGTTTATTTGATTTAAGCTGAAGGTTGGGTGAGGGTAGGTCTTTTTCACAAATTATAATCTCTTTTTTGCATTGAGATGTATTAGCTGACAACATAGTACAAAATATGAAACAGCAAAACACAGCATATGTATTTATATTTAAACGCTACCTAAATAAAATACCTTTATGTTTTTCTGCCAATGAATGATTATTACTGAAAAAACACATTGTTGCACACAGACTAATGGGGATGGTGAAGCTAAAGTCCTTCCTGCTCCAGAGGACAAGAATCGGTTAAAGGTAAAAATAAAGACAATACTAATAATAAGAAATTAACATAAAATTAGCCTTCTTCAAAGGAATGCACATCACCCCCTGCTATTTATGCCACATATTAAACAGTCTTGTGCGATCTGTTCAAAGTATGGGATAGAGATACTACCACACCAAATTTTAGCTCAATATCTGTAAAACTGACTGACTNTCTTTACACAACAGCACCATGAGAACCACCATCTTCCAGCTCATGATTCACACATTGGACCCTCTAGGAGAGGGTGAGTACCGTGTTTCTGCAAACTATGACCCTCATCATTAATAACATGCGTGTCTTTAATTTACTTTCATAAATGTTTTCTGTATGTTCCCATCCATCTCAGTGTGAAATGGATTAGCTGGGTGTCCCACATGAAGGCCTCACTAAATCCAGATTGATATTAAGCAGATAAAAACCTCATCCGTATACAGAGAGATTCATTTACTGGTTTGAGGTGAAACAGGAAAAGGTTTAAAAGAAATTATTGCTGCAGTCACTGAAGATATTGGTATATAAAAATAACATTTAATTCTATATATTAGATTGAAAGGAATCAAATGTGGTTCATTTTGAGTCATAAATAAATAATGATRTAATAATGAACCAATGTGGTGCAGACTGATTCTGTTCAGCTTTCACCTCCTGAAAAAAAAAGTTAGTCTTATGTGATAGTTTAAAAATCATACCAATATGTTTCTGCAGCCCGTTTGCAGCACGTATTTTTAACATATTTTGTCTGAAATAGTTTTCTTGTGTTTCCTGCTGTCAGTTGATTTTTGATGAGTTCCCAGTGCAACAAGTGATCATTGTCACCAACATTATTTTATATAAATGAGCCAATCCAAAATGGACCAGATAAAACATGTACGTGCTCTAAGATTGAGGTTCCCAAAGTAGCAGTTTGGGACCCCAACGTCAGTTCAAAAGCATCAGGTTTGGGGTCCTGGGATGGTCTTCAAAAATCAAACCAAATTAAAAATAAATAAATAAATAAATAAATAAATAAATAAATAAATAAATAAATAAATAAATAAATAAATAATACTCACTACTGCTGCTTAGCTTATTACTGCACTCCTATTGGTTATGAGTTTGTAATAATTGCTTTTTTGTGTCTTTATTGCAGGGAAATTTAAAGATAAAGCTGAAACTCTGACCAGTGTGGCCAGACGGAAGTCAGAGCCCAGATCCCAGGACAAAACTGAAGGTAACAAGAATTAATGTCGTAATTAGTCTCTATTTAAGCTTTTACATCTATAATTTTTATTTGGAATGCAATTTTTCATCAATGCTTATACTGATAATTTTGTATCTTAACAAATCTTTGGTATTATAGTTATGCATTTATTTAATTACAGAAAAAGGGAGTAAAGCTGATGAGCCCAAAGAGCCAGAGGCTGCTGGAGCAAAAAGCACAGAGAAGAAGGAGCAAACAGAAGAAAAGAAGGTACTCTCCGTCCATGTCCAGAGGGCTTTGAAAAAGCCCAGAAGTCAGTCTTTGATACCTGTCTATGTAAGAGTCAAAGAAATGAGCCACTAATGTTTGTAACAGGCTTTGATTTTTTTATAAATAATATTGATATTGTTGTTTTATTTCGGCTCTTTTACTTTCCGTCCATCATGATGTGTTTTCCACTTCAGGACGATGTTCCTGCAGAACAGGGTGGGTCAGATAGCTTAGACAGTTCAGGCAGCGATGAAGAAGACAGTGACGAGGACAGTGATGAAGACAGTGACGATGACAGTGATGAAGACAGTGACGATGACAGTGAACATGGAGATGATGACGAGGAAAAGGAGTCTGAAGAAGATGAACCTCTGTCTTTAGAGTGGCCTGACTCACCGAGCAAACAAGCCACCTACCTCTTCCTGCTGCCCATAGTCCTCCCTCTGTGGCTCACAGTTCCTGACGTACGCAAACAGGTAAGAGGAGGCAGAAATATATAAACGATGGTATGTTATGTTTCACCTTTATTTTTCTCTTTAGAAATCCAGAAAATTCTTTGTGATCACCTTCCTGGGCTCCATTCTTTGGATTGCTATCTTTTCTTACCTCATGGTGTGGTGGGCTCATCAGGTCAGTCAGTCTGACCTGCTTTTTCAAGTGTAGCTTTTATTTGTAGCTTTAAGCTTTGTTTTGTCCTCGTAAGGTGGGAGAGACGATCGGTATCTCAGAGGAGATCATGGGCCTGACTATCCTGGCTGCAGGGACCTCCATCCCTGACCTCATAACCAGCGTGATTGTGGCTCGTAAAGGACTGGGAGACATGGCCGTTTCCAGCTCCGTGGGCAGCAACATTTTTGACATCACTGTGGGGTGAGTCTCTGGAGTCTCATTGGTCACAAACAAAATACTTAAACAACTGATACCATAAGTAACTGATGCCCCCTTTCTGTTTCCCTGTTCTCTTGCTGCCAGTCTACCAATCCCATGGCTCCTGTTCTCGTTCATCCACGGTTTGACTCCAGTCGCTGTCAGCAGTAACGGCCTGTTCTGTGCCATCGTGTTGCTCTTCCTCATGCTCCTCTTTGTCACCATCTCCATCGCAGCCTGCAAATGGAAGATGAACAAGGTGCTGGGTTTCACCATGTTCCTCCTCTACTTTATCTTCCTGGTGCTCAGCGTGATGCTCGAGGACCGCATCATTGTCTGCCCTGTTTCCATCTGAAAGTGGGAACACAGCGAGACACACTGTGAGTGTGAAAGAATATCACCTGGAAAAAAAAACGAAGAAGTTTCATGACTTTTGTCTTTTATTTTGGACTCATTAAAACGGTGGTTACCGGTAAAGATGACTAGCAAGCGTTGCTCATTTTAGCAGAATATTTATTATATTTTCTGTCAGAATCTGACATCAGACTAACCACTCTTCTTTGTTTTTCTTTTATTCAGTTTAGGATTATGAATGGACTTCCTGTTTTAAGTCCCTCCATGGGTTGAGTTTAACTCAACTTATGTTTAAGGTGGAAAAGTTAAAACAATTCGTATCTAAAGGCCCTGTAACACTATAATGTTTTAGACATCTTACGCCAGCTTATGAAGATTTTAAAGACATTTACGTTCAAGATGGAACTTAAAAAAACCAACTGGCACAAGTTGGTAGAAGTTGTCTAAACATTATAGTGTGACAGAGACTTTACCTGTTGGAGGTGGCTGTTTTCATGACTTCATTTTGGAGTGTTTTTCTGACTGAACTGATGAGTCAACGTCTCGAGTGGATGATAAGACCCAAATCCGGTCTCACAAAATGAATTGTTGCTCCTAACACTATTTGTTTTGTCCCCACTCAGGCTAGCTCATCTACCCATTCCAAATTGAACACTTTTTCACCAAATTGTAGTCATACAAACATCTATCTATTACAGGTAAAATGTTTATTGTTCGTAACCTTTTCACAGAACCCCTTATCAAAAGATCTGAACTGTTGTTTTAAAATCTCAGGGTTTTTGGAGACTTTTTTTTTTATCATTTAGTTGGTGTTTGCAGCTATTTTCTTATAAAGGAGGATGGCTAGATGTTTAAAATAAAAGCCATTTTTATTTTTGTAATACAGAGAGATCTGTTAGATTTCCCTAAAAATTCATAGTTCTTTAGCTGCTGACATGATAATAATAATAATAATAATAATAATAATAATAATAATAATAATAATAATAATAATAATAATAATAATAATAATAATAATAATAATAATAATTATTATTTATATAGCGCCTTTCAGGACACCCAAGGACACTGTACAATAGAAAAGAAAGGACTATACATAGAATGATAAGGGTAGTGCAGGAGAAACATAGAAATGTTGAGTACAGAACAATCATATAATAAAATACAGTAATGTAGACAAATTGAACACTAGGGTTGTGGGGGAGAAACATAGAAGTGTGGACAACAAAAACAGACACATATTGAAAATAGGAATTAACAGCGGTGGGCTAATTTGAAAAGATGTGTCTTCAGGCCAGTCAAACAGGGAGAGACAGGTGGTATTGCGTAATGATGACACTTCTGATTCTCTCATTTGACTCAGATGTTGTAATGTGGGACAAACTAACTAAATGAAAGAGCTTAAGGTTAAATTGATTAAGTTTAAGGTACCGGTAAATCTGAGGTGTGATTAGATCTTTAAAGTCAATGATCTGCTTTTAAATAAAGCTATTTAAAAAACAAATAAAGTATTTTCAGAATAGAATTGCTTTATTTTTTACTTGTTCGACATGATTGTATAGAAACTATTTATACCACTGCTGAAGCTGCACTGATGCGTTGCCATGTCTGATGTTTCATATAAAAATACAACGGACACCTTTAGCAATTGTTGCAGCGTTTACATTTTGTTCTCTGCTACAACGGGAGCTGCAGGACTAATAAAATTGACTGTACAGTTAGAGAAAAAAAACACATACAATTGTTCCTCTTTTTGATGAACACTGTTTAAAAAATGAAATTTGACATCTACAGTACAATGGAAAGGTTTTATTTGGGTGGACTAAAAATCCTGTGGCTGCACCAAAACCAAAAGCCAGAGATTAGCTATAATATTGTCATGTTTAGGCTATTTGTCAAAAATACCAGTACCAAAGTTAGAGAATCCTCTTCTGATATACACTAGGTCTACTGTACTTTGATATTACTTATTTTAAAAAGTATTTAGTATTGTCACTATTCAACTTATTGATCTAAATTTATATTCATAAAAATATCCGTAAAACTTCCTACGACCCTGCATCCTAATGTTGAGGATTTAGATTTTAGACGAATTGTCTTTTTTCAGGGAGTCTAGATTTTGAGTTTCATTTTAAATGAAATATATGTTTATATTTTAAGCTCATAATTGCTCAGAAACTATGTTTGTGTTCATGTGGTTCTGATCTTAAATAAGTAGAGGAAATTAAAAATGTAGACCAAGAAAACRTTTGGGACTCAACAAGACTCGAGGCCCATTGCCCCCCTCCCCCTTGTTTTGGGTGACACCCGTTGAATTAGTTGTTTTATGTAAGTAAACAAATTTAATAATGTTTTATAACTTCACTGTTATGGCAATATTTATTTAACAAAGACAGAAATACGTGGTCCAAGAATGAAGGTACTTCGTGGGATGATCAGCTGAGTTTTATTGCAACAACAGGAAACACAGAGAACAACCTGGCCTGTCTCTGTGCCTCTGCTTCTCTCTGTCACTGTCTCTCCACACTTCTCACTGTGTCTCGAGAGGCCTCATATATATATTAACAAAAACCATTATGTCATCTTAGCAAGATTTGATACAAGGTCAATGGAAAACACAAAGATAAACACAAGTGATATCTAAGAATGACTGTTGTTAGCAGATCTTGTTCTGACTTTAATCATTCTATCTGCAGATGAATAGMATGTCATGAAAACCTMGGTCATTAAAGGATGTCATGAATTACTTGCTTAAACATAAAAGTATTAGTTCCATTACATTCACTATAGAGAAACTGAAAATGCTCGTTTTTCTTTCAAATAACCACACCTGAATCCACAAAATAAATGTGTTTATTAAGTGAAAGTAAATTATAAATCTAGCCAGGGAAGAAATATTCTTTTTTTTAAGTAAAAAAAATCATACAAATTAGTCTCTCTGTTACAAACAATAAATAACACTTAGGAAAACATTGTTGAAATCGACACTTAGTGTAAACAGCAYGTAGAGACACACAGTTAACGTTTTGGTCATCAGTGGTTTTCAGACACTTCTTGTGAGATTTTGTTCATTGTCAGATTGTTTGTTTCAGGCACAAAGCCTTTCACAATTCCAGCATTTCATCATTAGATATGATTGTAAAATTCCAGGAATAAACACAATAAATATGAAACTTTTCTGTCAGTTTATAGTAAAAGAAAGTTTTACACTCAGTGTTAACAGTGATTTTTTTTTAAATAAAGGGCAGGTCAGAGCTTTGACGTTTCATTTTCAAGTGAGAACATGTATTAAAACCCAACCATTACCAGAATATTTTCATTTTTTCCACTTTGTATGTTACATAAAGCAGTGAACAGCTTTCTGAATGTTTAAAACTTACATCTATATTACACAGTGAAGACAAAAATCAAACATTAAGAGCCAAACATTTTAAAATTATATGGATTCACAACTGTGTTCTTTAAAAAAAGTAATTAAATCCAAATAAAATTATGTTTTTTTATCTTAACTTCCTGTTTTTATTCAAAGCTGTTGTTTGTGGTTGAATATTTTTAATAAATTATTGAATTCCTTCCTTTTAAAAGCTTTAGAAACAGTAAGTATATAAGTAATTAACCCTTAAAGGGCTGTTTTGGTATTTTGTTGAAGGATGAACAAATACTGTGCATTTACTAAGTGTTGAAACAATTTGTTTTATATATAAATATATTACAGTGACATTACCTCCTGGTTTAGTGCATTCAGATATATGAGAAATTCAGCATTACGGAGTGCACATAAGCAGAAACTGATTTGGTTTCATTAAATTAAAATGTCAGACTCAACAATAAATCCAGCAAATACTAAATAAAAAGGGGACTTTGTAGCTTCGGCTGCTGAGCCAGTGAGTTATGTAACTGAGAACTAAGTGCTCCTTCTGTCAAAGTGCTTCTTAAAAAATTGCTTCAACACAATTTAATATCAAACACAAACTTAAACAGTCCGAACAAGGTCACCAGGACCAGCAAAAAAACACAAACATGGTGATTTTAGGCTCATCTTAACGTGTATTCACAGCTTCAACAGGAAAAAAGGCATCAAATAGACCGTATAACAACTGTACAAACATTTTACTACATATGTATTGAAAATATGGTTGATTTTTTGAATATTTATAAACTCTAGGCCCGTCCCTTCACACCTCTCAGCTCTAACAGTACAAGAAACTCGTGGCAGTTGCTTCACATTTAGGTGAAGTTTTTTTTTCCCATTGTGCTTACTACTAAAATGAGTTTCATGTCCAGGTTGAGTGAGCCGGTCCTGAGTCTGAAGAGAAGTCCAACATCCCGGCAGCACAAGTTCACAAACCGGGCTCTCCAAATGTCCTCCTGCACTCCATGACCCCTGCTCCGGGGGGCCGGTCACAGTTGTGTGTCAGTTTAACTTGGCTGGAGGAGAGGCGGTCGTAGGCCAACCTGTACTCCCGGTCAAAAGCATCTGTGAAGAAACAACAGAATTTATGTCAACCATTAAACTGAATGTTGATGTCTTGGACTCAGCTACACAGGTTAAAAGAAGACATATCCTGCTTTTAAATCYTTTTCTACATTTAAATCCTTCAGTTGGGGTCTAGATAAAGTGGAACTGCAACACTTTGGTTTGAATTCYTCCTTATTGTAACTCCACAAGCCCCTCTTTCACCGCTTTTCTGAGGTGTGTCTCAGATCAACTCGTTTTGATGCTGTCTCTTTAACCCCCTCCCCCAAGCTTCCAGAGCGGTTCATTGTTGCTTGWTTGAGGGGTTTACAACTATACAGCAGCGCAGAAACATTTTATTTATAAATTAATTAAAAGATGTCAAAACTTGTCCATCCAGCCTTACGCGTTGGAGCCAGAGTCTGACCCAGAGGAGAATGAAGATGGAGTTTTGTCACAAATACTGTGACATAATAGTTCAGAATGCGTCATAGAAAATAGAGAAAACTGAACGGATTGAAAAATACGACACACTGGCGGGCCGGATTTGGCCCGCAACCTGCCAGTTGAATAGCCCTGGTTTAAAACATGCAAGTTCTGTTTAGTAGTAAATTAACAATTAACCTCATTCAAATATAATCAATACATTTCAAGTTTCTAGTGGTAAACTGAATTATCTAGCAGTACATTTTATCAGTGGGAAATAAATGCTACTGTATAAACAACTGTATAATCCACAAAAAGCATCATATTTCATAAGAATTTAAATTCTTTCCATTATCTCATGAGAGTCAATTAACTCTTGAATAAAGTTTTTTTTAGCTTAAGTTATTTATTTATTTATTTTTTTTAAGAACTTAAATAAAACTCTTGTTCAGTTTTGTGCGAATGTTTTCTAAGGAGTCAGTGAGGGGACACAGGAGATTATTTTTCTTTTGTGTTCCCTCGCAAAAGTAGTTTATCACTGTTGTGCCTGCCGGTTTATTAACAAACTCACATGTTCACCTTTAGCGAGTTAGCCTACTGCTTTAATTCAGCTTCAGAATGAACATATCACACAGCCACGCATGGAAGTATGTCATATGCTGATATTTTAACACAGTRCAGCCACGCAACATCAATTTCAATTTMACGAACTTGTGGYGACACRTCCTGTTTTGGTAACTGGATATTTCAAAATAAAAGTCTGATTTAATTCAGTTCATATTCAAAACAAACTTTTGCGTGGGAACGCAAAACAATATTGCAAGGTAACGCAAAAGGGAAAAAATCCCCCATGTCCCCTCGCAGGCTCTGTAATTTTCTTAGTGTCATTCAATATTTATTTTTTATTTTGTTAGAAGTTGGAAATCAAAGGCCTCAAATTCAGTTTGATTTTTGTAATTGGAAACATTTGTGATCAAAAAGGGCAGGAAGTGGGGAAAAAGGCCGCTGAATAAATTTAGAAGAAAATATTCAATTATTTGTGATGTACTGAAGTAGAAGTACATATCCTCAGAGCACAAAACACTGAGTGCTAATGAGAAAATAGAGCAAAAAAGTTAATTTTTAAAACAGAATATATTTAATGGATGTATTAAAACACAGAACAGTGAGAGGATAGTGACAACACACAACTCCCTCTGTAAAATACACTTTTTTTGATTAATTGAAAACTAATCCTGATAAAAACAAAGGTAAAAAAAGGCATTAAAACTTTGTTTTAAAAGCACAAAACATTCTCTAAACACAGCTTTAAGAAATACATATACCCTATGCCATACTTCTTAGTACATGTCAAGAACACACATGTTGGAACGATTGACCTGATTGGCCCAAAATGGTTCATSAAAGAACCAAAACACTTCAAGTTTCTAGTAAGCCTGAAAGGAAGACGTATGAGTTTCAAACTTACTGATATTTATGTTGTTCCTCCCCAAAGCCACGAGGGTTAGAAACAGTAAATCTCTGTAGAGGCTCCTTTTTGGGTGAAAGAAAACCAAACATTAAACGTTAGATCCCATTTGAATCTTTTACACACAGCCTCATCGTCCTCCTTCACTCACCTCTGTCTCTTGAAGCCCAGCTCGGGCCCCAGCAGCTGGATGATCTGGCCCATGGGCTGATGCACGTCGCTTTTCTTGATGCTCCTCACGAAGCTCTGCAGCAGCTCCACGGTGAAGAGCTGGCCTTCCTCGCAGAGCCCCGAGCGGATCAGAGAGTTGGCACCTGCGTAGACGGAGGRATGCAAGTCAGCCTCATCAGAGCGGCTCCATCGCTCAAAATCAGCGATTAAATCAGCACATCTAACAGGAGATCTGAGCTGAATTATGCATGATGCTCTCGTTTTTTTTTCCTGCATACAGCATCACTGTTTATTAGAATGCAGATATCCGACCGTCCCGGCAGGACTGTTTGCTRAAAGTAACTTTTTGAGCAAAACACAGCGGAGAAAACTCAGCAATAACTTACAGTGTGTGTTCCACAGGATGTARCAGGGCTGAAGTTTGTCTTTGTGCAGCTTTGGGTTGTCCCACATGATCCTCACCAGCACCTGCTTGCTGTCCTCTGATGAAACGCTCTGAAGAGGCTAAAGAGGATAAAAACATAATGAAAGCTTCGACTGCATCAAGTCTCACAGGTTCATCTGCAAAATTACATAACCAGAGAAAATGTGTTGTTTTGATTTTTTTTACCAACACCAGGAGGTGCTGAAGTCACAGATAAATTTGCCAAGGAGAACTAATGTCATCTCAGTGGGATTTTTAAATGAAGGTTAATAATAATAATAATTTTTTAATTTTTTGATGACTGTTTTAAAAGAAAAGTGACTCATATTTGGCTTTTGTTCCTGGAAAAAAGACTAAAACATACTTTCCAAGCACAAGGAAACAAACAACCCAATTAATCAAAGCCTTTTAATAAGATAAATGTTTGAGAGGTTTTCTATGTTGCAGATATATGACTAAGAACAGAGTGAAAAACAAAACACCCCAAAAATGATTATTTATAAATTTTATTAGAATAAAAAAATTCTAATAATTGTGGCTCATGGGGACTTTCAACTTGGCAATTTTTGCCAGCATGTCAAAACGTTTGGACGCCACTGACGTAGGTACTGAGAGCTGACACTGGTCTTTGTACCTGGTCTCTGTGGCTGCAGTGTTGCGAGGCCAGGATGAGAGCCGGCAGGTTGCTCGGCAGCTCCAGCCGCCTGAAGAACCACACGAGGTTCCAGAAGACGATGGGGTGTTGGTCGACGATGCTCGGGGAGGCGATGGCCTGGTCGCCCTCGTTCACCAGCAGGCTCTCCAGCTCCTTCCACAAAACCAGGGGGCTCAGGTAGGGCACCGTCACCGGATCGGACGTGCCGGCGCTCCAGCTGCTCTCCTGCTTCTGCGGCGAAGCTGCAGATGGCTGAGCTGCACAGGCCGCCGCGGACACACCAGCCTCGGGGCTGAGAGGGGCAGACGTGTCCTCCTCTTTAACAGGATTACTGGTCTTCAAAAACCTGAGGGGGAGCAGAGAGGATTTATTTAAAGAGGCCACGGGGTTAAGGGGTATTTTCTCTGTCTGTCTGTCTGTCTGTCTGTCTGTCTGTGTTTTTTAAAAAATTAGGTCACAAGTTGTAACAAAGATCTACCATTCTGTAAGACAAAACAGCTAAATTCAGGAAATTCAACCTAAAACAACAAAAAAGTAAAAAAAAAAAAGACATCATGATCTGATTAGTTACTTAAAGTGTAAAATACAGTTCTGTGCAAAGACTAAACCACCTTATATTTAGCTTCCAAAGAGGCAGAATTGTTTGTAATTTCTCAAAGTAGCCTGAATTAATAGTACTTCTGACATTTTTAAAGTATTTTAAATATTTTCTTTGAGCTTTAGCTGCTCTTTGCTCATTTTCTGTCTCGACTGTTTGCATATTGTTCAGGGAATGATTTAAAAATGAGAGAAGTGGACAACTGGAGGACAAAAGAGGAAATTTCAAGCCAGCAACAGATAAGCAATATCTGAAAGTCGTGACAAAAAAGTACGACAAAAACCCAAACTAAAAGAGTCTTGAAAGATAAATCATCCTTGAGCAGATTATTGACTGCTTGTCAAGTTTTCAGCTAACAGCTCTTTGGGCAGCCTTTTGTTGTTGCTAAAGTGTTATTTTATGTGACAAATGATCAATTATGTTCGGTTATTTTTAAAGTCAACTTAAGAAATGGGAACAAATCACATCTTTGTGATAAATATTCAATTTATAAAAGGTTCTAAAAGGCCTGTTATTTGTCGACACAAAGCTGGTTGAGTCAGGGTCCTTTTTCTTTTTACAGGTTAGAATAAAGTGACTTTAACAACAACAAAACAATTTTAAAAATCCTCTGAAAATATTCAGGTACAAAGAYTTAAAAGGAGTTAAAAACTCCAGAAAAACTTTAGAAAGCCTGAAAAACGACRGCTTGTGAAAGTTTGTTCACATGGAAGCAAAATCCAACAAAAACAGGGATGACTGTTTACACGTCACCTGTTTTGCGGTCTGAGATCTTTGATTTCCACGTTGAGGAAAGGCAGGAAAGCTGTTCCACAGAAAGGACAGGTGCTGTTGAGGTTGGAGTCGTTTGCTGTCCAGCCTGCCATGATCTCTTCGTCGTACACCAGACAGTCACACGTCTTACAGAGCGAACAGCTCGACATCAGCACCTGTGATTATAAAACGATGCGTCATCATTACGTTCAGAATCATCCTATAGCAGGTCTATTTAATCCTTTGATTTTTTTCTGCATCATAATGTTTTGTTGCATTTGTAAACTTACAAGTGATTTGAAATCTATTTTATATTAAATTAAGTAAACAAAAAAAATCTAAATCCCTTTTTTTTAGCTCAATTGCGGGCCAGATGGAAGTCATCCACGGGCCAGATGTGGCCTGAGGGCTGTCAGTTGCAGCCCTGTCCTATAGACTAGTTTCTAATGAAGTAAATATTTTACCTCTACGCTGTAAGTAGGGCTGGGCTGGAAGCGGCTGACATCAGGAGAAGAATCTGGAGTGTGGGKAGCTCGAGACGTAAGAGCCAAACCACCTGAAAATATAATAGAATTAATTTAGACACAAGAAATTACATTCAGTAAAGCACTGATTTCTTCAATAAACTCTGCTTTCATTGGTTGCCTTTGTGTGTTCGTGAGCCAGACTTTGTGCACCTGTGTCTCACATTTGTTCAAGTGCACGTGAATGTGCACGCACGTGTGCATGTTCCTGCATAAAGCCTGCAGCGAGCGACAGGAAGTCTACACAGTGATGCCTGCTGGCCTAGTTTTCCACTGAACAACATCCAACTCTTTCCATCGCTCCTTCCCTTCCTTTACTCTAAATTGACCTATTTTATTTATTTATTTTTTTGGTAAAAGCACAAATGTTTTAAAGCAGATTCCCTCATCTTAACATTAAAGCTAACATCTTTATTTGCGTTAATGCCAAAGGTGTTGAATGCTAAAAGGCTGTGCAACAAACCGGAGAAAGAGTTGTGTCTGAACACTCTGTTGGGGCTGCTCGGGCTGCTCAGGTTCGCTTGGTGAGCGCCGACGGGGCTCCTCCTGACCCGGGACACGCTGCCGTGCTGAGGGGAAGTGAAGCCGTGCGGGTCCAGACAGGAGTCGTTATCGTGCAGCGAGGAGCATTCGGCTTCTGCTGAGGTCAGGGAGGAAACGCTCATTCTGTCACAGTTTCCATCCTGGAGGRAAAAAACAGCTTGAGAAATTGTGTTTGCAGGGCGAATGCTGAAGGACACTGTTGAAACTATCTTAAAATGCGCTTTTAAACTAACAGAAACAAAACTCTAGCTACAAGCTGAAAAGGCCAAACAGTAGCTCAAAGCTAAAAGTAGCAAAACAATAGCTAGAAACAAAAAGTAGAAAAGGCTAGCTTAGCTTAAAAGTAGAAGAATAGCAACTAAATGCTAAAATTAGCTGAACTGTGGCTAAAAGCAGCGTAAGAAGACAAAAAGAAATTATGCTAAAGCAAAGACCAAAGAAAAAAATGTTTTTTAAGGAATTAAAAGCATACTTGTGTATATGGGGCAATAAAAGGTAAATTATATAAAAAGTAGAATTATTACAAAAAGCTAAAGTCCTAGCACTCATCTCCTAAATGAATATTTCGATGTGTGAATGTCAAAAATAACCCAAAGTAAAAAAAAAAAAAAAGGATTTAGATTGCAAAAAACAACCTGAAAATAAGAAGCAGGACAACAATTCACACAAAATTGCCGTTATATCAGTTCATCGTAGAGCCACATAAAAGACAGATTGTGTTGAAAAAAATGTTTTATGTCTAACCTGCGTTAATGAAGTCTGGGAGGACAAACGGGAGTAGAGGCGACTCGCTTTCTCTGCCACACCCTTCCCTGCCGATATGACGCTGCTCTTGAAGATGTCCAGAGTTGGGGTCAGCAGCGAGTCCATGGAGAACGAGGAGGAGGAGGAGGGAGTCGGCGATGACGGGGAAATCAAGGAGGAAGGCCTCTCCCTGTCTTTGTTGCACATCCCCAGCGGGAGCGACGGCGATGGCCGGAGTCTGTCCTTGGATCTGACGGGGAGCGAGAGGTGCGTGTTGGAGCGGGACAGCGCGGTGGACTGCGGGGACGCGTGAGCAGACGAGGTGGAGCGAAACAAGGGGCTCGAAGGGTTCTGCAGGTCCATGCTGGGCGTGCGGCTGCTCAGGGGGCTGCTGTTGTTTATGTAGGTTTCAATCTCCTCCACGAGGTTGCGCTTGGCGGAGGGCGAGATGTCGCTGTCGCTCTCACGCTCCCTCTCTGTCACCGTCACCATCTCCGACAAGGGATCAAACCCTGTCCTCTGCGTCTCAGCGCTGCAGCTCACACCGTCCTCCGCCAGAGATTTGTGCTTCTCGGCCTCCGCATCCTCCTCCTCCACTCCGTGCAGCCTGTCAGCGCCGAGCTGATTCTGCCTGGCTGAGCCGAGGAGAGGGACGGCGAGTCTCACACATCCCTGTTCACCACACAGGTCCAGAGATTTGGGCCTCTCAGCACGAGGACGATTGTCACTAAACGGACTGGAAATGCCTCCGGTGCCGGCGTCTGTGGAGAGAACACGTGCCAAAACATTTAGGTCAGAGAGATGAGAGCTGCTTGTGCATTTTAAATCCCATTTAGACAATCTTCTTTGAAATAAATCATAATTAGGATGGCATCTGCTAGTCTGCAATCTAAGTCTGTTCTTTCAATTGGGGATCTGTGGAAAGGTTCTGAGCATTTTATATCTCCTCCATTGTTGATATCTCCTTATATAACCTCAGTTTGAAGAAATGGAATTTAATGCTGACATATCTCTCTATTATTGTCAGGTTTTCACATGTATTTGTTCACATACAGTATACAGTATTTTTAAACTACAATGAATCCTTGATTTTGACATTGTTACAGTGCTGTGTTTTTGGATATGAGAGGGATTGACCACAAGTCGTGAAACTGTGAAACTCAACTTTGTGGGCGTTCACTGTATACTGTAATGCTGTCTTGCCATGGTTTTCAAATTGTTGTACAAGAAATACTTCTCTTTAGTGGTACTCAGGAGAATTTCTGGTATCAATTATATAAATTAAAAAAAGCAAATTTTCCACCCGAAGGTGAACTGTGAGGAGAGTTACTGTGTGTTGGCTACAGAGGAAGTCCTGTCAAGTCTCCCTAAGACCAGCAAATTTGATCCAAGTTATCTAAAAGTCACGTTAAAATGTTAAGGATCAAAGAAAGACCTGAGATGGTAGCATGTGTCACTCCCAACAACAAACAAATGAAACTAGACATGGGTTTTTACGATGTAAAAACAAGTGTGCATTGCCATGTAGCATGTCATTGCAGCGTGGCTTTGCCTGCAGCATTGGACTTGCAGAATGAACTTTGACCAAGTTCAAATGTGTTTTCTATACCAGCTTGTGCCTGTCACATCAGCAGGTGTTCAGAATTAAGGTAATTGTGCGACAATACGAAGTTTGAAGAGATTTTTTTCTTAAAGTTGCATAAGCCGGGTTTTGAACCCTGTTCTCCCATATGAAAGTCCATACAGTACATGACATAGACCATTAGACCAATGGAGTTATGGCAGAAGGTGGTGGCAGGGGTTGTTTTGTATGTGTGCAGAAAGAGGCCACATTGCCAATACAATTATTGACACTAAACTGCATAATATTACAACAATAGAGCAGTATTAAGACAATATTATAGTAAAACATCAAAATACAATCATATTAATATTGTAATCACTGAACTACTGAGTTTAAATATTATGAAACTATGGTGCAGTACCATATTGTGTAGATGCAGCAGGGGACAGTATTGGACCAATACAAGGCTCCATTGACTGCCATTATAATTTATTAAACATTAATCTTTCAAAAACTATAAGTTTTACAGGCACCAAAATGCATAGCCATCATTTGGCATAGGGGCTTTACAGATATGAATTACAATGGCAGCTCTAGGGCAAAGTATGCAGGAGGAGAAGCATGGCAAAGTTGAGATGACTTGGATGGGAAACGAATCACAATAGTGTGCATTGCATTGGCAATGCACACTGAATATCACAACTTAAACCATAACCAAAGTTAGATACTTGAAAAGCTTAGAAGTTTTTTTAGGTTGTGCTCGTTATTGAGAACCTCCGCCTTTTTGCACAATTGCACATTTCTCATCCTAAAAAAATAGTATTGCAAAACCCTGACTGTTGCATTTTTAACCATGGTATGTTTGCACAGTCACGTTTTGCTGCAGAGAAGAGGAAGCAAAACTGTGTCGTTTCTTGACATGCTTTGAATTACATATCAGAATTACTAAACATTAAAAACATGTTTTAACGGTTTAAAAATATCACAATTATCTACTTATATAAGAAAAAACACATCCATCAAAATGATATTTTATCTGAAAACATCTAAATAAAAAAGAAAAAAAGCTGAACTGAGAGAAGACTACACCTACACTGTGATATCATCCCCCAGCTTTTAAACACAAAGTGTTCATGTTGTTGTAATCTGTGACTCACGGCTGCAGAATTAGTCATTAAGGGAGAATAAAACCCTAAGTTAAAAAGCGATCCAAGACTCACTGGGCTGCCTGAGGCCTTTGTCTTCCCCCAGTGTCGAGGTGTCGGTCTCTCTGCTGCACAGCCTCTCCTCTTCTTTAGATAAAGAGTCATAGCCTTGGTCAGACTGTCCACCTGACAAAAACAAAAGAAAAAGGATAAAAGTTTTATTCATGTCACCATTTTCATCTTAGTCTTTCCTTCCTCTAAAGTAGGTTGAAAATTGTGTATTGCAAGGATGTTTTTAGAAGATGACTGATCAGAGAGATTGTCTTCAGAAGAGCGAGCGAGATGACGTCGCCCATGGCGTTCACACCAGACGACACTCAGAACATAAAAATCAGAGAAGCTGAAGGGGAATGGAGTCTTTTCAAAACATGCATCATGCTCACAAGGTCAGTATGCATGAAATAATACAAACATATTCTACTGTGTTTTTTTCTTTTTGCCTCTTTTAAAAAGGTAAATAAGATTCAGTTAAAATACATCATTAGCCAGCTGATGTCAATGTCAATAGCATTTCTATAGCACATTTAAAAACAAGGTTCACCAGAGTGTTTTACAAATAAATAAAATAAAATAAAATAAACCAATAAAATAAAAATAAATACATATATAAAATCAACTAATATGACAGGAGAAAAATACGGTTTTCAGGATCATAAAGACTGGGGGGTGGGGGGTAAATATAAGGGGCAGGTTGTTCTGCCAAAGACCAGGGTCTCTTCTTCAGCTGCACTGAAAGCAAAGGCTGGAAGAACTCAGTGCTCTTTTTAGGTTACAAAAGCCAAGAAGTTCAATTAAATAAGTGCATTGCCAAGTCATTTAAAGCTTTAAAAGTAAGTAAAAGAAACTTAAAACCAATACAAAACAGGCAGCCAGTGAAAATCTGCACAAACTGAGTGGTGTGATCACACCTTCTGGTGCTTGTTCAAAGATGCACAGCAGCATTCTGGACAAACAGGCAGAGACAAGCTGGTTGGTCAAGGTCAAAATATAGAAAGTCTAATCTAGAGGTGATATGAAGGCATGGACAAGTGTTTCAAGGTCTGTTGGAGAAATGTAAAATGTCGCTTTGTCAATTTGACAAAACTGATAAAAACTTGTTTTCAGACTGGTTTTGTTGATGCACCACTCTGAGCCATGTTGCTGCTGATATCACATATCTACAGTGTAATACATCAATGTGAGAGCTGTGTATCGCCTGCAGGAAAACCATTGTATTTGCCAAACATATGACGCAAAGAAAGAATTTGCAATATGAATGGATCCTTGAGAAACTAGACCATAAAACAGTGCATGCTTTTGTTGTTTCTCCAATTTGGAAATGAGTTATTCAATGGTTTCTGCAGATATGCTGAAGAAAAGGGAAACAAATAAAACATGCATGGTAGTGGCTTTCAAGTACCAGGAGTGGACACCATGGAGGAACCACAGAGAAACCATAAAGGAAGATAAATTTCAAGTTAAACAGGAAGTGAACCACTGAAGTAAAGTACCTTGAATCCTAACCTGGTCTCTTTCAGGGGGAAATCATTGTGGTTACCTCTATCAAAAGCTGACTGAGAGCCAGTAGCATCAAAACAGCACATATTATACCACTGTGTAAAAACTGGAGCAGGTCGCTACATACTTAAAGATGATTTTTAGCTAGGATGAGGCAATGTATGAGAAAAACGCCAAAAATAATGTTATTTTATCTTTTAAATCTTTTAAAATGAGTCTTTTAACCTTTTAGTTGATTTATTCTGTATAAAAAGTGATGGTTGAAGCAGAGTTAAAAAACACTCACTCGGTTCTTCTGGTTTTTCAGGGGGATAAATGAAAGAAAATCAAAAGGAGGCTGAGACACGAGGAAGAATTATAAGTTGAGTGTGAAGCAGAGCTGCTTTTCCTACCTGTACTGAATCCGTCATCGCTCGAGTCCATTTTGGTGAAGTCCGTGTCGATGGAGGTTCGCTCAGCGGAGTCATTAGCGCTGTCCAAGCTGCCGTGGCTGGCCGTGTCTAGATCGCTGCCGTCTGAAGAGAGAGAGGGGGGAGAAACTTAACAAATTACAACAAATAAGCAGCCTCACGAGAACGACGCCAGAACACTCACTGATCTCTGCTGCAAAGATTAATGGGATAAATATTAATAATTTGGCTCGGAGGCGTCAAAACAAACACTACATCGATTTGAACAATGGTAGAGTTTGCCGTGTAGAACATGATGTTTCCCTTGGAAGCCCACCCGCCCACACACACATGCACAAACACACACATCATGTCATGACGCTAATGAGAGCTGTCTTGATTCCTTGTGGGAAGAATGTGTCAACAGTGGCAGCATGCACACTGGCTGCTGCAGAGACAACCTCTTCATTCTGTTTGATTATTGTAAAACTGTGGTGTCATTAAAGAAAGGCAGATGGGGGAACAATGTGTGCTGGAGGAGGACAAACAAGTGCTCCTGCAGGATCTCATTAACATCTACAGTGAATAAGTAAAAAGAAATCAATGAATTAAAAATTTAATTCACTAAATTGGTTCCCAATTTACAAAGTAATTACAAAAGAACGTGTGCTAAACATCCTGAGGCCGTGTGAGGGTTGACTGTGAAGCAGCTACAGCTGGGATGTGTTTTAAACTTAGTTGCAGTTATAAAACAAGTCAGGTCTAAAAATGTTCGAACTACCAAATAACATCAAATAGCAAGTTCAAATGTGATCCGATTGTAGTGCTAAACAAACTACTGATGAAAAACAGCTGAAAATTTATCAAAATAAAACTAATTTCATGCACTGCTTTGTTTGTTAAAGTTTAAACAAAAACCTTCTGTAAACAGTTGGAGTACGAAGTGGGAACGACTCACAGCTACTACCACTCTAATCTTGGCTTGATATCTATAAAATAGCCTGATTTACAGCCATTTGTATGTTTTCAAGTGCAATTAGCTGCAGCAGCCATCTTGAACTGACTCATTTCAGAGAGTTTAATGAAAATATGTCCACTGATTTCTGAAATATTTTGCTAACAGGCAGACAAAAGCACACACACACATGGAGACACAAGAAATTACATGAGTGATTGCCTGGAAATTAAAAAGGAAAGGAAAGGAAAGGAAAGGAAAGGAAAGGAAAGGAAAGGAAAGGAAAGGAAAGGAAAGGAAAGGAA